TGATCAAAGTCTTCTTGTTAGGGTTGTAAAGCGGCTCTTTTAAGGTCTTCCATTTTCTTTAATCATTGGACTCACCATGTGTCATAGAGTTTGATCTTGTTTGGCATGGTGAGGAAAGTTGTCCAAGATTCTCATAATTTTTGGTGGAACGTTGGTTGGCAACTTTTGGACTAAATTTAAGTTTCTTGATTGAGCACGGGCGTGCTGCCTGGCACGTACTAGGGCATTGCCCAGGGCTCTGGAGGTGCTGGGCTCTCAGCACGGCCGTGCGCTCCGACGGTCTGGGGAGTTCCGGGCGAAGTTCCAGGGCACGGGCGTGCGTACTGGCACGGCTGCAGGCGTGCACTCTTCTGGAAGTCTGGAAGTTGTGTAGCACGGGCGTGCTTCAACTGCACGGTCCAAGCTTCTATCTCCAGTGCGCGCACGGGCATGTTCTTTGGCACGGCTTGGGGCGTGCATCTCTCTGAAAGTCCGAGGCATTTGAGGCACGGGCGTGCGCCTTAGCATGGGCTGGGGTGTGCGCCTTTTGGCTTTTTGCTTTGATTTGCCTTGTGTTTGGCACGGCCGTGCGCCGTAGCACAAGCGGGGGCGTGCTAATCATGTTTTTGCCTTATTTTTGTCCTTTGTTTGTCCTTTGTTTCAAAATCCTACACTTTTCCTCAAAATCAAAGTGAGTTTATGTTTCAAGGAAGCTTTTAAATAAAACATAAACAAATATTATAATAAATAACCTAATTTAGATAAATAAAAATTGCTAGAAATCTTAGTAAAAAATGCAATAATATATTAAAAATTAACACTACAAAACCCAGCCAGGCAAGAGTGTCAGTCCGGCCAACGGTTTTTGGACTCATAACAATACAACTCTTCTCTGCACATCCTTTGTAATGCTTGCTTGCACTTCCTTTTCTCTTTTCTTCCTTCCTTTTATTTTATATTTTATTAATAAAATTTTAAATTTTATTTGGATTGTAAGATTAATATTTATAAAGATAATATCTTTTATTCTTTATTTTTTTTAGTTTCAAGTATTTCAATGGAAGTAAAATAGCCGTGGAAATTTCAATGGTCCAATTATAATATAATAAATCATAATTTTTTTATATGTATAGGAATTCCAAAATATCTATACATAAAAGTGCGAAAGAGGGGGAACATTGGATTTCTACAACTCCCTTGTAGACTTTTAATTTTCTTGGTAGATTGAAGAATAATTTAGTCTTATTATAAGTCTATTATAATAAGAAAACTCTTAATTTTATTGGTATCTATAGTTGATAATTAAAAATATCATAAAAAAAATTTAGAGTCGTTCTAAATTAGGAAACTTTGGAAATTTTCTATACAATAAAAATACTATGAATTAAATCTAAATTAAATATATATAAAATATAATATATTATAAATAAGCATATTAATATATTATAATATAAGATATTTAAATTTATTAATCCCTTATTGGTAGATCTTTTTTATTAATAATATAAATTTAATCTCATTCTAATTAATAGGGATGGCAAAATCAACCCGACCCGATGGATATGCACCCAACCGAACCAAGTCAAAAACCCGAATTTTAGGGTTTTGACTTGGTTTGGATAGGATATAGTTAAAATCCGATAGTTTTATTTTGGATACAAGTAGGGTATGGATATTGTTATTATAAACCCGAACCCGATCCTACACTCGAAATTCAAACCCTAGAGATTTAAAATTTTAATATTTTTTTTTTAAATTATAGTATGAAAGTTTTAATAAATCGGGTTACTTGTAATAAATTATCTATATAAATTATAATTTTACTTTTGATTTAATGTCGTCTAGTGTAAAATAATTTCACTCTAGTTTTCATATATGAATTTGAATTGATCAAATTTTTAAAATTTTAGGTTTTGAAATTTAAAATTTAATTTCTAATATTTAATTTAAACTTCAATTTTAAATAATGGATAAAAATCATAATGACAATAATGATTTAGAGTGTGTTTTTTTTTTTTTTTTTTTTTTTTTTTTTTTTTGAAAAGGTGATTTTTTTTTTTTGAAAGGTGATTTAGAGTGTTAATATAATAATATTTTACGTTTAATAATTTTGTTATATGATCTTTTTAGTTATTCTATTAATTGATTTTTATTATAATTACACTTGAAGAGTCTGCTACTATTACATTTGAGTAAAGTATTACGACAAGAAGAACAACTTTGGAATTAAAATTTTAATTTACAATTATGAGAACATTCATGTATATATTAATTTATTTTCACATTTTTTATGTATTATATAAACCATCTGAATAAATACTTTAATTTTTTTTAATTCAATATAATTTAATTTTTACAAAATATGAGTTTGTAGATAAATGGATATCTGTGGATAAATAGGTATATGTGATAATGGATACTCATAGGCACCCACGGATAATGGATACCTGTGGATATATCCAAACCTATTGGATTTTGGGATGGGTATAGCATTCAATCCTACCCAATAAGGTATGAGGATTGAGGATGAGATTGAGTTTGGGCATGGGTACTGCACTACCCGACCTGAACCCTACCTGTTGCCATCCCTACTAATTAGGAATTTAACTTTAATTCTATTCTAATTATGATATCAATATCAATTTATTACTTTTATTATATTAATATTATAAATTTAATCCAACTCTAATTAAGAATTTGAACTTTAATACTATTCTAATTAGGATTTTATCCTCTCATACCACTGTATATGTTTGGTTTTTATTGCTTTTGAGTTTTGACTATCAAGAATTTGTTACTCTTGACTATCATGAATTTATTGCTTTTGACTATCAAGTTATTTCATCAAGCTTTGCTAATTTGGAATTATTGAATTTACAATCATTTCTTGTTCTTGCGATAAGTATAATTATAACTTCATCTATATATATGTTTTATTAATATTAAATCAAATATATATTAGAAATGGTAACTGAAAAATTCTATCCAATCTTTATTAGGAATGAAAATCTTGTTATAGAAGTTTTGATTGAATCCAATATTAAATCAATCATATTTATAGTTTTATTAGAAAATGACTTAAGTATTTTATATAAAAATCTAAAAATAATCAAATTTATAAATTATACCAAAGTTTATAAATAAAAAGATTGAATTATTTATCTTTATAAATTATAAATTGAAATTATTTTCTTTTCTTCATATTTCATTTTGTTTACTTTGTTAATATTATTAGCTACTTTTAGCCTTATCATTCTCTTGAAGGTATTAATTATTTTATCCGTAATCTAAATTTCTTGACCAATTTTCAATTAGGATAAATTTATTAAATTTTTTTATAAAACTTTGTTTGAATCATGATTGTAATTTTTTTTAATATTTAACACTTCTTTTTTTTTTAAGTTGTTCCATATTTTTAATTTAAAAATTTATTATACTTTGATTTAATATTACATCTATTATTATGATAATAAGGGATAAATGTTTAAATTATAACTCAATTGAAAATTTAATTTATCAAATAATTATATTTTCTTTGGCTATTATTAAAGATTTTTTTCCTTTTATTATCAATAATTCATTAAAGACTCTCTACTATCAAAAATTTCTTTGCTATTGCTATATTGGAAACTTCTGACTTTATTCTTATTAATGGCTAAGGTGCTAATTTTAACTTTTGATTTTTTTTTTTTTTGGTATACTATCGCAAATGGTTATCTATCGTGCAAAAAAATGTTTAAATTTTGATTACTAATAATCTATATTATGATATTTATTTTATATGAGTGGATGAGATCTTGGATCAATGGTTATTTATTGTTTTAAACTTCGTGTACTATTTCCATTTTTGGGTCAAAAAAATCTTATTGATAAATAATATTAAACATTTTCATCAATAAATTATAAACTATGGTATGATAGTTGGTTGCATATATTTTTGATACATATCAATAATGTGGCTATATAAAGAATTATGAATTTCTATATAATTATATTGTCTTTATAAAAATTAATAAAAATATATAAAAAATAAATTATAAATAATCATTCTACGGATATATTTAACGAGTAACAACGTGTATCGCACATTCTTGAACACTAATAACTTTAAGAATAATAATAACTTTAATAATAAAAATAATAATAATAAAAATGATTATTTTACCATCAAAACGACGTAATTTTGATGTAGGAGGTTGAAATGAATCCAATACCAAAACCACGTCGTTGTTTAGCCTAGGGTTGGAATTTAATCATACAAACAGAAAGTTCTCCTCCCAAACTCAACTTAAGTCGAACGTATTTTCTCCTCCCGCCCTTCCCTGCGCCGCTCGTTTTCTGCACTTATACAGCCACAGTTTTATACCTTACCGTTGCTTTCGTTCCTGGCCATCGCCTCCGCAGCTCGTGCTCTTCAAGCGTACAAGTGCTCTTCAGCCAAAGGTTCGTTCTTGATTTTTTTTGATTTCATTCTCATTTTTTTTTCCGTTTTGCTTCCTCCTTTTTCCTTTCGTTCTCAGTCGAACGAATACTTAGAATTGCTTTTGATATATGGGTAAACTTCAATTGCAAATTAACAACTTTCTTTTCAGTGTTATTGTGTCTATTTCAGTTGATTATTTTACTCACTTGTTGATGTCGAATTATTTGATTTAAATGTTTGCCAATTCCTTAGCCAATTTCATTAGGGTTTGGTTTTTTCAAAACCATATTTGATATGGATTCTTAGGAGCTGGGACATCCATGATTGTCTTATGTGATTTATGGTATTTGGGAATGCTTAATTGGAAGAATGTTTTGTTGATTTGTGGTTGTGGTAAAGTTTGCCTTGACTATGCTTTTGAAAAGGTATTAACTTTGAAGGTTTTGTTGGGGTTTCCTACATGTTGTGCTGCTCAAAGTAAAACAATGTATGAAGCAGTTGTTGGTTCTACATGTATTAACATGTTTTGAGATATATTGGTCAATTTGTATTTTCTTTTGTATCATCCTGTATTCCTTAATTTGCAGGCGTAAGAATTCAGCTGCGCCTTTGGGGCGAGAGTAGTGTTGGTTTAATGGCACTTCCTGCAATTAAACATGGGGAATTGGTGATGTTGAAAGATTTGCAACCATCATCACCTTTCTTTAAGCAAGGAGCATCACTTAGAATCACTGGAAAGTAAGGTCTTAAGCCCTTCTAATGTTCGTATCAGTTTATTATTATTATTATTATTATTACTATTATTATTATTATTTAACTATTATATACCCACTTTGTTACATTCCTTCCCCAATTGCATTGTACTGTGATTTTTGATATTTGTGTTCTTGTAGGATTTTTGTAATGCTTGTAGTAGATCTAGTCTAACATAGAAGTTGGACAGTTTTCCCTTGTTGGAAGAAAGTGTAATTAATTTGAGAATCTGTATTGGTGGTTTTGTTTGTTGGAGAGAAAACATGTGAGATTGAAATGAAAATGGTGGTTTAAAATAATGATGGAAGTTTGTGTGTTGGGTAATGATATTGATAATAATGTGGTTTTATTTTTGTTGGATATGTTTGGAGAGGAACCTGAAGGAAGGGCTTTTTGAGGTGATATGGTGATAACTAAAGTCTAAAAGTTATTTGTTGGTGGTAGTCTCAAGGTTCAGATGAGGTATAGGACATGGTCATAAAGATGAGACATGGGGGCAAATGCACTTGCTATATAGGTTTAGATTATGATAATAAATTTATAATTGGAAGAGCCAAATTGCAGTCGTGATCTTATGGGATATGGTGGCATGGTATAGGTGGTAGTAATTCTATGGGAAAAGGGAGCAATGTCGCAGCAAGGGGAATAAGCGATGGCATCGGTCGTTGCAGCAGAGTGTTGGACAGAATTGATTTGAAGGGTATGCCTAACCCATATTCTGAGGTATTGAAGTTGTTTGTCGTGATGTGAGTTGGTTTGGTCCCAGGGAACATTACACATCAAATAGCACACTACATCAAAACAATCCTTGTCTTCCTTCACACGACTTAATAGGAACGCGACTAACTATGCCAGACAATATTAGTATTAGGTTAGGAATTAATGATGGTGAGTAAAATGATTAGGTAATTAACACTCGTTTTATTAGCCATGTGCCTAGAAAGCTTTAGGAAATTTCTATATTGGGGTCACAGTTTGATATTACCTCTCAAACGCAGATTTATGGTTGAAAAATTAATTACCTCTGTCATTTAAATGTGGCTAGTTATGAAGCACCCATTGGATTAAACTCTGTCTTGCATTTATTTGATATTTTAAATGCTGATGGACAGATTAAATATGTTTGAAACAAGATGGCGAACTTCCATTCATTGTGCGTTTTCATCCATTGGAATGTTCTGTTCTATTTAGGAGACTCTAGCAGTTTCAACATGGTGTATCTTTATTGCACTTGTTATATTGCTTAGTTCATTATTCTTATGTTGCAACATTTAGAAAATCTTTTGTGTTCTCTGCAAAGGTTGTACAAGAATATTTCCTGTGGAACACTGCCATAGCATAATGTTGATGGAAAAAATGCTATTCTGATAGATCGACACCCAACACTTGAGAAACCTTAGCTCCGAACTGGTTCCACGAATCCATTCACGGTGAACTGGCAATATTCAATCTGATAATTAGGTAAGACTGAAAATAATTCCATTCATGGGTTGCTGCCACTGTCACTCTGACTCTCTGTCCCCTCTCTTCGCATGTCTCCCATCCATTCCTCTCATTTCAATTGTGTGTCACCATTCCTCTCATTTCAATTTGTTGTTAACATACACTGGTATTGTGTTTTGTTTCAGATAATTCTGCAGGCACGTGTGGGTAGAAATGTTGATGGCATTGACCTCAGCCTTTATAATCAATCGCTACAACTATTGCGTCAGTTTCAAGCTGACCACATAAAAAGTCATCATCAAATCAATTGAATCACACACCTGGCAGCCATGTAAGAGCAGCAATAATTAAATCAGTTGTTTAACCTAACCAGTGAGAAAAGAGTAGTAGAGAAAGAAAGCAACAATGACCTTTTGCAGTGAAGAGATGACTTGATGGAGATAAAAACCAAGGGTTGTCCTGCTGTTTGTTACAGCAGTGAGCTCTGTCCACTGACGAACATAAATATATGGCATTTAAACGAAAGCAAATTAATATGATGGAGAGATTGTAGATAAATGATCAAGAGTAAATCAAAATGAAATAGCGACAAGAAAAGACGGCCTTGTTGTCGTGAATGGTTGGGATAGCCACTGGTTTTGGTAAGATCGTTATGTTATGAAGATAGCGAGTGGCAGGGGAAGTTTGGACAAAGAGGGAGATGATGTTCTGAGAAGGTAAGATCCAGAATTGCTGGCATTGATTCTCATTGTTGGTGGTGATATTCATTCTCTCTTATGTGGCAATTATGTCTCGCTATGGATGGAGATATTCGATGCTTGATCTTTTATTCGTAACTGTAATTCTCAGGTTAACGAAACAACGACGTGACGTATATTGGTCAAACGCTTTGTGGTTGGCATAGAAACCACAGGACTCTCTGTCATGCAGTATTTACTCATTTCTTAACATCTCTGATCTACTACCACAGCCACTTCTCTGCCATAAACATTAAGAAGAAACCCAATTTCTGATTTCAGAATTGCAGGCCCACTCTCCCTGAATGCCAATTCTGATGATAATTGATTGATTATCTTTCTTCTCCATGCTTGTCAACTGCGTCTTTTTGTTTTTTCTATAGTTTTAAAACCGAAAGTTCTAAAACCGTTTAAAAGCGTTTTGGTTTCAATTCCATATCTTTTATAACTGGAATCAACAGATTTGAAACTCAAACTAGAGATTTGGAGCCGTGGTCATGCCTGTGCTCATGCCTACTTCGAGGGGCTAGAAGGCTTCTAGTGACTAATCAGACCATACTCGTTGAAGATCTGAAGATAGTTCACTCTACTGTAGGAATCAACCATTTTTAGAATGGGATTCTTGATATAAATTGACTGATTAGGATAGGATTTTTGATGTAAATCGGGCAATTGATTGTAACTTAAACGAAATAATACTTTTGATATTCATTTTCTCATTTTTCTTTTTTAGCATTTGACCGATTAACATCTTTCTAAATAATTGATTTTTCCCATATTTCCATAAATATTGATCGATCCACTCCTTCCCAGATTGAAGGAACATGTTTTTTCAAGTACTTACCATTAATGGATTGGGCGTATATTTTTCGCTGGGATTCGATCAGTCAATACGCTCTATTTCCAATGACCTAATTGATAATAAACGAACCTCTCCAATTAGGACTCCATTTCCGATAAGTTGAATCTTTATGGTAGAGTGGCAATATAACATTCCAAACTTCATTGTCTTCTTTGAATGATTTTGGCCATGGCATTATTGCATGGCCGCTCAACTGTCTATTTCTTAACTTGCATTTGATTGAGAGTAAAATACCCTCACCTAGTCTATAGATAAATCACCGGGTCTATATATAGAGCCAAGGATGCCAAATGCTATGCCAAATATACTAATTTTGTAACTTCCTATTAAATGATTCTGACTTACAAAGTAACATTACTAACATGCAATAACCGTATATAAAATTTCTACAAAAAACCTATAAGAATTTCCCCTATAATCTTAACATTTCTAATTTATAAACTTGCTTAGAAAATGCTAACATAATATCAAATCTTAAACCTCAAATAACTATTTTCAAATAATCAACTCATATCTTAACATTTTAAAATTTATAAACTTGCGTTAGAAAATCTGCTAACATAATAATCAAAATCTATAAACCTCAATAACTATTTTTCAAAATAATCACTTCAACTTCGTCGTGTGAACAGACTTTATCCGGGATTAATAGATCAAACCATACGGCTCAGATAAATAGTGTCCAATAAGGAGATGATGCCAGACGTATTAGTGCTAAGAGCAGCTAAATATCATCCCTTAAATCATAATTGAAGCATTAACATTTACTAGCTAGAAATATGTACTATGTTGGTGATACTTTCTTACTTAATTTTACCGAAAAAATGAAGAGTTTCCTAAAGAATCGCTTAACATCTCCTTAAAATCCTAACATCCTCGAGATTTTTAACTTGTTAATAAAACACTTCTAAAACTTCCCACTTTAACTCCACATAACTACATTCAATCGATCAGCTTAAACTTCACAAATCACTTTCAAAAAATCGTCCATATATAATCTATTAAAGGTTTTTCCAATATGTAAACTCATACAAAATTTTTCTTTATAAATCTCTTTTATATATGTAATAAACATTTGTACATTCCAATAATAAGTTTGTCCTACTCTATTATAAGAAATAAGATCTCCTACCCAAAAAGAAAAGTAACTCGGATATCGATGTAGCTCACGATCCTCTTCTGAGGCTCTAGCTACTCTCTACTACCTATGAGTGAGAAAATCTCCATGCACTACACTATAGCCTTTGCGGTACACAAACTTGCAAAAAAAGCATGTAGAAAACAAAAATAACACTCGATGCAATTTTTTTCAAATACAAAACAAGAGATTTATCCGGTATTGCAATAAACTTATATACTTGTGACTATCAACCCATTTAAGTGAAAAAAATTGTGAATATTTGGGTGGCAATTAGAAAGTACCATGAACCAGCTGAAGACGATGAAGTAAGAAAGAAAATACAAGAAGAGAATATTCAAAGGAGAATAAAAGCCTTTAAGAGGAAGCTATTTCATTCCATAGTTATTTCATATCGGACATAGTACCTCTGATAACGAATCCAAGAATATAGCAATTTGAAAATATTTTTGAGAATTGCGAAAAGCATAATTAATATTGTTAACACTATGTCCTATTAATTACATCATGATCCCAGGATGCACAAGAGATGGAAGGAAGCTAGAAGCAGACGATTTTGTCAGTTTTTAGGGCCATTTGATTTTAATACGAGGGAGGGAATCATTTGTAGTGGGTCATTAGATTTAAAGCTTCTACATTTCTCACTTAATAAATACTTCGTTCAATTTTTTTTATCAATTAAGTCCTATTATAAAGTTGTTTTTAAAAGTTCGAAGTGGGGGTCAATGACCATCGCACTCACTGGCAAGTTGAGTGGGTCAATTGACCCCACTTCACTGGCTTTGGCACCGCCTCAGCTCAGATGTCGACATAGCTAGATCTTTGAAAGAAATTTTGACGAAGAAATGGAAAATAAAAGAATTGGAAATAGTGGCACTTTCTGAGAATTGTAATGCAATGATCCAAAATAAGCTGCCACCAAAAATGAAAGATTAAGGAAGTTTTTCCTTCTTGTGTGGAAGTCGGAGCAGTGAAGATTGATAAAGCTTTATGTGATTTAGGAGCTGATATAAGTGTGATGCCACTATCCATCTTCAACAAGCTCAACATGGAAGAACTCAGACCTCCTTGAGTTGTCCTACAGTTAGCATATTGATATGTGAAGTACCAGAGCGGAAATATAGAAATTAGTTTTTATTTATATCTATTTTTCCTTTTCATTTTATTTTTTTAATTTTTTTTAAATTTTAAAGTTTGTTTTATATTTAATTCTTTTAAAGGTTAGTTTTTGAGTTAATTAATATGATCTACCATTTTAATGATATGTTTCATGTTCAAAAAATTTATTAATAAATATCATTTAATATCCTTTTAATAATATTCTTTTAAAATAATAAAATGTTTAAGCTTTTGATAATAAATAATTAAATTAATAATATCATTAATATTATTTTTAAATTATTAAATAAAATAATTACATAATTAATATTTTTATTTTTTCCAATAAATATTAATATTTTTTCAAATAATAAAAAAAATTAAATATTCGCTCGACCAGCAGGCCGTATACAACTAGTTGTATAATGTTTAGGAAATGTTGATATTTTACCTCTATGATTGTCGTGATATTGGCAACCACTCACACTAGTTATAATACACTCACAAATACATTAAATAAACTCTTAAAGTCAAGGATGGCGGACTCATTATCCATTATCTCTTGGTCCAATCAATTTCTTTAAGTGGAGCAATTTCGAATGCAGCCAATAAGTCAATGTCAAAAAACCACCAATTTGCTATTTAGAGCTCTCCCCACAGCTGTATTTGCATATGAAATAAACACCGACACTAGAAAATAGTACAAAACGACACTAGAAAATAGTACAAAAAAAAAAAAGGCAGAATGAGGAGTCTTTCTCTAGCGGTGGTGGTGATTTTGATTCTGATGAGCAGAAGCAGTTGTCTGCGAGCTGTCAGTACTCCGCAGGAAATGATTAGCAGCAACTCCTTTTCCTTTTCCATGGCAGACACCAACATGGAATTAGAGTTGATGATGGACTCCGAGACTAACAGAATGCTTGCAGCTAGCACCAAAGTTGTAACTGGCGTAACGGGAAAACGCCGTTCTACTCTTGATTGCGGTCGGGGGAAACGCTACTGCCTTCCACGTAAAAGTCGTAAAAATCCTCCACGATGCAACTCATACCAACGTGACCTTAATCAGTGCCCAAAATGAATTGTCAAATATTGGATTTTAAGGGGAACGAAGGATCACACCAAATGGTATTTTGAGATCGAATTCTCCTAATTTATATTACATTACTTCATCTTCTTTAAAGTTGTTTTATGTGTACTGTATTGCTTTAATTGATAAATTTATGTATTGATATGAAAGTTTCCAATTTTTAGTCAATACCATCATGACTCCCTCTTTCGTGTATTTGGTTTATTGAATAAAATACTCGACCTATCTAAAATGAATGTACTCACTGTTATTTATGTTCATGGGTGGGGCATCTATAAATATTTAGCTAAAAATTAGTTAAAAGTTACTAAAATAGTTAATATTGTCAAATAAAATTCTATTCAATTTTAATTTATAAAAAAATAAATTTTATTTTTAACTTCTTCCTATTATTTATAAAACAAACGGAAAATTTTTTCTATTGAGTATTGATTAATTCTTCCTCCATTCTATTTATATAGAGAAAGTCAAAATTTATCTAGGATTAAGGATGTGATCTTTTTGTGGATTTTTTTTTAATTTACCCCTAAAAAGATATTAAAGTGGTAAAAAGATAATTTAAAGTGCGTCTCCCAATTTTCAATAAACGTTTGATAAATTGATGAGAGAAAGGGATCTGTGCTTAAATAATGCGTTTTATTTTTTTAAACTATCTGATAACAAAAAAAAAAAAAAAAACGTGCGGCAAAAAAAAAAAAAAAAAAAAACGTGGGCCGTTTAATTGCAATTGCGCATTAAAATTTTAATATCAAATTTTGATTAAAAAAATTGAAGTGAAAGTTGAAAGAAAGTTCATAGCCAAAATTTTCAACCTTAAATTCTTTATTTTGCTTCTCCAAATTTAAGCGAAAAAAATGAAAGTTAGAGCCAAAATTTTCAAAGCTGAATTCATCTAAATAGGAATGAGTTCACAAAGCTAAAATTTAATTCACAAACGTCATGGACACATTCCTTCCTTTTGATTTGAATACAGTCTCTCAAAACTTGCTTGCAACTTCAGAAGATGTGCCCATGCTCAACAATCAACACTTAGACTTGATCTCCTTACCATACACTGAACAACCGCTTTCTGTAAAATCCGAAACCACACTACTACCAATTAACGTTCCAAAAGAGGCCCGAAAAGAGCAACAAAAGGAAAAACATCATTGTAGATGTGAAAAATACAGTTTGTATGTTACTGTGTTCTGAAACAGAAAGGGAAGAATCAAATGCTCGCAGTATTGATAAAGTTGCAGATGTTGTATCTATATCTGCTAAAACAATTTATAGAATTTGACATAATGCAAAAATGCGCACAACTAGTTTTATTTAAGCAATGAAATTAGGGTTTAAGTTCTGTATCTCTCTTTTTAGCCAATTAAGGAGTTCATCGGAGTAAATATAAATTGGCACAACTATTTTTATTTTAGCACAGTCGTTTGAGAGGAAATTTTCCTCCATTCAGGATTTATTAGAGTTATGAGTAAATTTCATTATATATGCACACTTAAAAGTTAAGCATAAGCTTTTTGGTGAAATTTAATCATAAGCTTTTTTGGTGGAAA